CCCGTCCTCCCCCCACCTCTTGCCCTTCTTTCACGCACTCCCCAGAGCCTGCAGAAAAAGAAAATGTAGCCTGGACCCAAATGGAGACTCTTTGAAGAGGAGGCTGTTTTTCATGTGTTCCTCTGTCTTTTCAGGACAGGGTAGGCTCTTAATCACTGTCCACTGAATCAAACGAGTGATGATTCTTACCCTAAAATGGGAATCTTAGGGAAAAATGGGAGTTATGCCATGCCTTGTTCACCAGCATTTCCACAACCTCTCAGTCCCAACACCTTTGGGCCTGTGAGGATGGAAAGTTCAGGTGCACCTCAGCAGGGGTCCCTACTCTCCTGAATCTGGTGATTTATTCTGAGAACTACCATGAAGTGTTTGTAAAAGAGGAAGCTGGTGTATGTGTGTGTGTGTGTGTGTGTGTGTGTGTGTGTGTGTACAGGTATGTGCAGGTAGGTGTATATATGGGTACATGTATGCTTGCATGCACAGGTATGGGTGTTGGGAAGCATGGGTGCGTGTGCTTGCACATGCACATGTATAAGTGTGCATATGCACGTGTGTGTGAATGTGTGTGTATAAGTGTGTGTGTGTGTGTGTGTGTGTGTGTGCTTGTTGTAGCTCTATGTATCTGCTGAATCTTTTCTACTCTGCTGTCCTGTTTCTCTGTGGAGCAGAAGTCTTCTCGAGCTGGGAGATCTGCGAGTCTGCAACTTTTTTGTTGCTTTCAGCATGTCCGGTAGGGCCCAACTTCTTCACCAGAGCCCGCCATGGCTGTGGGACCTCCTGAGCTGACACATTATTAGGCACCACACATTCTGGGCGGTGTTGAGTGGCGGGCAGATCCTCGTCCTGGATGGACAGCTCTTGTCTAGCAACACCTTTTGCAGTTGTGCCTCCCTTGGCCCAGTAGCCCCAGGCTGCTCTCCTCGGAGATCTGCACCTGGCTTTGACACTGATTTGCATCGGTCATTGCTATTAGGGCCTCTATTTTTCCAGGAGTTCCTGCAGAGCCCACAGACACCAGCCTGACAGCCCTCTCTGGAGAAGGTGAGCAGAAGGGAGCTGGCAGGGGACTGGCAATAAATATCCATTTCTTGATTGTGTGACCACTGACTTGCTGGCACTAGCTCACCTAAAGTGTCCCCTGCCTGGCTTTGGTTTAGATCTGCTTCAAGTATATTCCAGAACCATCTCTGGGTCTTCCTGACTCCAAGTTTCTTCTTAACTTCTTCAGCTTTCTCTCATGCTTCTGAACCTACCCCTGTAGAATTGCCAGAAAAAAGAAACCCACAGGACGCCCACCCAGTTAGTTGAACTTTAGAACAAAAACATTTTTTAAAAATATAAGTAGGTCCCAAATATTACACGGGGCATACTTATATCAAAAAGTTATCCATTGCTCATCTGAAATCCAAGTTTAATTGGGCACCCTGTATTTTTATTTGCTGAATCTGGTAAGGCTAACCACCAGGGGGTGCACTCGGCAAACCACCTCTCTACAAGTATGACATTTCCTTCCTCTGTTGCTGCTGCTCCTACTTCCAGGGGCTTAGAAGGAGAGATTCATGGAGCTGCTCTCTCCTGGCTGTCCCCCAGGGAGCCAGTGTGGCCAAAGGCACCTCATCCCCTGCATTCCTAGACAGCCAACGCCTTGAGGTGCAGGTCTGGAGAAGAGGAAATGTCCCTCTCACCCAGCCCAAGCTCCGCATTTCTCCCAGGCGGTAACCATTCCCAGTACAAATGACAGTGGCAACTTCCATTCTCTGCGGGGAAAATCTTCAGTTCCAAATTTGAAGATACGCTACGGTCTTCACGGCCCCCTCAGACAACCACAAAACAACCCCATGTTGGTGCACTCTCCGAAGTTTGAGGTTTTAAGCATTAGCTGCCATCACCTTGGGATATGAACAAATGACAGTATTTATTTCTGAAAAAGAAGCAAAATACATCAGATTTCCCAAGGGATCCAGAATCTAATTAGACAAAGAGAGTGGACACACACACACATTCACATACCTGCTCGTACCCGGCACTAAGGTGGTACATACAAGAACCCTCCAGAGAGGAAGGCAACCTGAACGTGGGGTCAGAAAGTCTATCACAAGAGTGCAGGTGGGAGAGTTTGTGATAAAACAAACAAACAAACATGCGGACCTTCTAACCGTCCTCACAATTAGGTAATGGAACACATGGATTTCGAAGTCAGGCAATTTAGGGCCCAATCCTGGCTCTCTCATCTTTCTGCTCTGTGACTTTGGGAATGTCGTTTAACCTAAGTTCCACTGAGTAGGGATGAGTTTCAGCATGAGTAAGTGTGTGTTGTTGGGCACAAAACATGTGTGAACCCACTCTCTCTCTCTAGCTAGACTTCAGAGGCCTTAGGGAACCTGACACCTTTTGCTTCTTTCTCAGAGATAAATGCTGTCATTTCTTCATTTGTATAAAGCAGGAGCCAGATAGTAAGTGTGGAGGCTTTCTGGGTCATAGGCTTTCCATCACAACTACTCAGCTCTGCTGTTGCAACCCAAAAGCAGCTACAGATAATCTGTTAGGTCGTCAGAAAAGTCATAACATATTTTTCTGGTTTTCTGTGCAAAAATTTCCAACAACCCAATGTACTAAATGGGGATGGCTGTATCGCAATAAAACTTCATTTACAAAAAAATTAAGGGCCAGACTCTAGTTTAGCATCCACTGAAAAGAGATGGTGCCCATACTTTAGGATGGCCTGAGGATTAAATGGCAGTGAGCACAGGGAGATTCTGGCCAGCATCTTCTTCCAGGAATTCTGGAAGCACCTACCATCAAATTATGAGCTGGGGAGTGGAGGACATGCTTGAAATATTGAAATGCATTTAAATACTCACACAACCAATGAAATAATTGATATGCCTTCCATTTTAAGATAGTAAATTGATTCAAAGGGATCAGCAGATGGTGTAATTGTTATGTCATTGGACTCCCACTTAGTCGGCTGTGGTTCGAGTCTCAGACCTAGCAGCTTGAAATTCACACTCGGTAGATGTGCCTGCATGCCCAAGATCCCCAAAGTAGAATGGAGAAGAAGGGACTGTGACATGGCCATCCCCCTAAGGAGGTGACTTCTCACTTTCTATCTCTCTTGTCTCTCTGGTGATCACACACACCCTATAGAAAAAAAATATCTCTCTCAAAAAAAATAGATATTCAGAGATAAGTTGTCCAAGACACAGAACTGGGTGGCAGGGCTACACTGACAACCTGAGATGCTCCAATTCCTGCTTCTAGACTAAATTCCTTTTAAGCTGCCTTCCCATGAGAACCTGTTCCATCCAGGTAAAAGCATGGCCATCACTCCTGAAGATGCTGCTGGTGGTCTTTCTGTCTAAACTCAGACCTGTGTCCTGCCTCCGTTTCAAGCCAAGGTCCTCTCAGGCTGGGAGACCTGGGGGTCTGCTCCCCTTTCTTTGCTTTTGCCATGTCCAGTAAGGCCTGTCTTCTCTACCACAGCCCTCGTCCCCTGAGTTGGGACCACAGAGCACTGTGAGCAGTCCTGTTCCTGATGGCATTGCCATTCCTTCTCTCCCCTCTGGGAGGGTTATTTCTCACTCTCTGTCTCTCTCTTCCTCAGCCGCAAACCACGCTCTCTGCTTGGCTTGGGTACTGAGCTGGAGCAGTAATTGAGGTTGGGTGGCATCTTTTCACAGTGGCTGCTGAGACCAGAGCTGAGAGGCTGACTACGCTCTTGAGAACAAGTAAGCAGAGGGGACTTTGGAAGTGGGTAGATGGAATCCAATGGAGAAACATCACCTAAATATCAGTGTTTCGTTCTGGTGACTGTTTCTCCATAGGATCTCAAGAAAATATCACAATGCCATATGTAGGACACTGAGGCTCAGTGAAAACAAAACTTCTAAGTTATTCAACAAATAAGCCATTGGACTGGTCTTCGAGCTGCTTTCTTTCTATGCTACATGGACAGAGAATGCCATTTTACCTAAAAATACCTAATCCAAAATTTCTTCAGCTGAATCACCCTAACCATTTACTTTTCTTATGCCAATTAATAACCATGGATGCTTTAGTACTAAGTATAAATGACTGGCAGTACTAAGAAGAATGGATAGTAAATGGAGTCCTGAGTTAATGAGGGCTCCCGTTGTTGAGGGTCTCCAAAGTGTCAGCATATTCTTAAGTCCCTGGTGTGCAATCTAAGTTATTTCTCCCTGGCCCCAGAAGGCCTGATATTACCCCCATTTTATAGATATAGGACAAGCTTCAAGAGGTAGATTCATTTGTGCAGAGAAACTCAGCTCAGTCATCCTTTATATCTGAATCTGCATGTTTTGCTTTTGAAGAGAACAATCTGCCCCAGCCTAGAAGGGTCCAGACTCCACCTCTTTGATGGAGTTTTTGTTGTCAACATCAGTGAACTCCAGCACCTTAAGTTTAAGGCAGTTCCTTCCTTTCCAAAGTTTTTTTTTCCTAGTTTTTTTAGTTTTTAGATTTTGCTATAGGGTGTATGTGCTTGCCAGAGAGTGAGAGAGAGAGAAAAGGAAATGAGAAATCATTCACAAGAGGGATGGTCATGCATGCGCCCAGCATGATTTTCAAGCCTCTGGGTCCAGGACTGAAACTGCAGTGTTGGCCATGTGGTATCCAACATCTTAAACCCCATGCCACCGACTGGCTCTCCAGAGAACTTTTTAGTCACCATCTCTAGCTCTTTGTGGTCCAGCCAGAAGTGAACCAGTAGCTTAGCATAGTGTTAAGAGGCTCAGCTTCTCCCAGGAGGCCTGGGTTTGCAACCTGCCACCCCCAGCCCTGTGACCTTGAGAAAGTGACCTACTGTTTCTGTGTTTCCCTTTCCCATCTCTAAATGTAGCTGAGCATAGTGCTCTTGAGCCATGGGGCTGTCATCATATGAGTTAACCAAGCTGAGCACTCGGTGCTGTGTCTGGCATGGAGAAGGAACTCAACTGTTACCAACCACTTACTCAACCACAGAGAAATTAAAGCTCAGAGACTCTCCTAGAATCACATAGCAAACAACCTCAGTCACACAATTCTGCTGCCTCTATGCTCCATGCTCTTCTATTCAAGGTGTAATTTTCTTTTAGTTTCAAAAAAATTCTGAGAAGCCAGCACTCCCAAAGCATTTCCCCAAACTCACCTGCTTCCAGCCTGACAAGCCACAGCTGCGTTCGCCAGCAAGCCTGTGTCTGGAGGTTCTTTTGGCTCAGTGGTGCCCCGCTATCCCCAGCTCTCCTAGGAAATCTCATGGTGAGAGGCAGCCCAAGGGCAGAGTGAAGAGCACAGGGTCCCCTCTACCCCGGGGATGGGAGCATCTCTGGACATGGAGGTTGAGCAGGCTGGGAGGGAAGTTGACCTTGTCTCTCTTCTTTTGGGGACAGAACCAAGCCAAGATTTGGAAGGCACAGAACCATCTAGGGCCACGCCCCCTCCAGGTAAGCAGACGCAGCTTCTCTGCTTGTCTATCACCGTCCCCAGGAATTTATAAAATCAAGTGGGTTCCAAATGAGGCTTAGGCCCAAGCCCATATGGAAGAAATCACTGAGGCAAATTTACTTTTTTTTTAGAGAGATTTTTGTTATAGGGCGCATACATTCACTGGAGAGAAAAAGACAGAAAGTGAGAAATCACCCCCCTACACTCAGGGGAAATGACCACGCAGCAATTTTTTCTCCTCTATTCTCCTCTAGGAGCACCCAGCGTGAGTTTTAAGCCATTCGGTCCAGGACTCAAACCATAGTCGACGACATGGGAGTCCAGCGATGTAAGCGTTTTGCCACCCACTGGTCCCTCAGTTTACGTTTACATCTTCCCCACAGCAAAAGCATGCGAACAAGTTAAATGTTAGGTCTGTTAGCAGGGAGACGCAAATTTATGCAGAGATGCATTTACAAGATTATAGTAAACTATAATAGTCTCCTATTTAAATCACTTGTAATTCCACAATAGAAAGATAACTCCTTTTAATATGTGAAGAAATTTTCTTCTAGTCTCCTTCCCTCAAGCATATCTAAAAGCATAGATAAAATGAATGTGAGATCATTAGGCAGCCACAGTTTTGCAGTTTGAGCTGTGTTATTAATACAATGAGATGATATTCCCAACATTAAATATTTTTCTGTAACTTTGATTTCATTTCCAGAGAGTTTTTATTTTATTTATTTATTTTTTTTGCTACAGATTTTTTTTGTACTTGCCAGAGAGACAGAGAGATAGAAAGTGAGAAATCACAACCCAGGGGGAATGTCCATGCTGAAATCCCTTATCCTTCATCCTCTTCTTGGGATTTTGGGCACGTATGCACACGCACCTGGCATGAGTTTTAAGCTGCCAGGCCTGGAACTCGAACCACAGTCAACTATGTGGGAGTCCAGCAACATAACCATTACTCCATCTGCTGGCTCCTGTAACTTGTATTCTAACAGGTGTACAGTATTCCACTCTTATTTGTGAGGGAGGTATTCTAAGACCCTTAATAGACATCTGAAATGCAGGTAGTATTGAACCTTATATATACATTTTATCCTATATATACATATCTATGATAGTTTAATTTATAAATTAGGCACAATAAAAGACTGAAACAATAACTAATAATAAACTTGAGCATGGGCCAGCCCTATGGCACCGTGGTTAAGCACTGTGCGAAGGAAGCTCGGTCCCACACGGCCAACCAAGGTTCAGTTTCTAGCACACATGTCCCAGCATCCAGATGAGATGGGAATCAGAGCGAAAAAAGGATTGCAATGTGACCAGGCCCACACGAGGTGGCTTTCTTTCTCTCTTGTGCATGCATGCACTCTCTGACATAAAATAATAGTAACAAAAGAAAACAATTATAACAGTATACCATAATAAAATTGTGTGAATGTGGTCTCTGTCTCTCTCTCTCTCTAAATCTCTTACTGGACTGAACTGCAGTATCTGAAACCCTGAAAGGCACACTATAGATGAGGGGGGACGACTATGTAATAACTCCTTGTGTGGAAATATAAGTTATTTAACCCACTATTTCTAACATTTTGTTATTATAAATAAAAGACACGCACTTTAAGCCCATCATTTCTGATTAATCTGTTACAATAAATGCCAAGAAGTTAAATTACTGGATAAAGGATGTAATGACTTCAGGACTCTTGACATGTTGCCAAATTGTCCTAGAGAGACAGTAAACCAATTTACACTCATAGACGTAACCTAGTAGCCAATACTCAGCACTATTATTTAAAAACAAGCAAACAAAAACCTTCTATCGATCCTTAAAAAGTGGTATCTCATTTTCTTTTGTTTCTCCCCTCTGATAAAAATGGAAAGTGGAGCTCTTAGTGCCCAAGTTGGGCCGGCCCCTCACTCTCAGACCGTTTGGCCAAACCTGAACAAGTTCTCAAACCTTGCCTGCATTTGCAGAGGTACACAGCTGGTGTCTGTGCTTGGGCTACTGTGATCTAGGACAGCTGAGTGCACTGCATCTTCTCAGCACGTCAAACAAGAAAGGCAAGAATGAGAGGACTCCCCAAGTGGGTCGGCCAGTCCAGGTGGGAGTGACTAATACCATCTCTAAAGAGAATTAGAGCATTTCATATTTGTTTTTGTTTTTGTGTGTTAGAGAGATTTTTGCTATAGGGCGTGTATGCTCACCAAAGAGACAGAGAGAGAGACAGAAAGCAAGAAATGACCCCCCTTAGGAGAGACAGCCATGCCACAAACCTTTTTCCTCCATTCTCCTCTCAGGATTTTGGGCGTGCACGCATATGTGCCTGGCATGAGTTTTAAGCTGCCAGGCCTGAGACTTGAACCATGGTCTACTATGTGGGAGTCCAACAATGTAACTATTATGCCATCTGCTGGTCCTGGGATTTCATATATGACTCACTGACACAATTCAGAAAGTTCTCTCTCAGGTGGGGAGAGGGCTTCTGGCAGGAGGCACGGATCCTGCAGGGAGTGCGCCCTCGGTTTCGGGGAGTCCTGTCTGCTCCTAATACATTCCTTCTGAGTGTCCTGAACCCTCGATTAGGAGTACAGGTACTTTCACATTCACTGAGCAGTTCTAAGGGCTACTACTGTCCATTTTATAATTATTAAACATTTAGCTAGCCAAGGTATTCAAACTCCAAAACAAGCATTCTTTTTTTCTAGGACTTTTTAAAATTTGTCCTAAAGTCATCAAAGCAAAATCATGATAAAACATTCTGCTTTCCTTTACAATTTCCCAACGCAAAAAAAAAAAAAAAAAAAAAAAAAAAAGCGGGCCCAGAATT